CTGACCAAAAAATATCCAAGATACTTTAAGATGTTCTAACACTAGGCAAAGTTTTCAATTCCTACAAAGAAACATTCTTGAGAGCACCATGCTGTCACATCAGCATCATTTAGAATAATGTTAGCAAAATAAATCTCAGGTTTTATTTTACAGAGGCTCACCTTTGAGGGAAGTTGGTTCAGAAATGGAAGCAACTAAAACTGTATCTTCTATTGATTCAGAGATAGGCTATGGAGAGGTTAAGCCAGGAAACACGAGGTATCTCAAGCAAACATGAAACTGGAAAATTGAGCAAGACTCAAAACGCTCAAAAAAAGGATGCATCTTTTTATTTTTTTTTTTTTAATCTGAAGACCCTACATGGTCAAAAACAAATTTCTAGTCGTACCTTAAAAATTACATGTTTTATGAGCAGATATGTCATAGTTTGCAGCAATTCTCATTCATGGCTATAAGCACAAACAGGTAACAATTTGTCTATATGTCAAGAGTATTCCCCTTAAAGATGCTGGTCACATGCAACTGGAGTGTATTTACAACTACAGTGTATTTACTATCTTACATTACAACAGAAGACCACCCACATTTATTATACATCACAAGCACAGATTCAACCAGAAATGTTTCATATTCAGATTTGAGAAAAATAATGCAAGACAAAGGGTAACCTTACTACATACTGTGTGCAAATTAGTCCTAAAACAACAAACAAAAAGGATGGGGAAAATGCAAGTTCAAAATTAAATATTTAATTAAATGACAATAACAATTAACCAGATAAACTGCCTTCATATAGATTAACTATACATTTTTACAGCCTCCCTGCCAGCTCTGACATAAATCCATTACACGAGTTTCGGGTTACTGGCTTCATGCCTACAAACTTCAGTTACTTCTAAACAGGCTAAAAAACTTGACCAATAGTCTTAAAATTTTGGAAAAGTAACAGCGCAGCAATCCAATACAGAATTAAATAGAAGTTCTAATAATCAGAATGAGTTACCATGTTTTAAAAGCCATTATCAGATTCAGTGAAGAATGCGTGTTTCACATTCAGCACACAGATACTGAGCATCAGGTGAGTTTTTCAAGAGTCAAGTCTTTATATCTCACAAAACTGAGCATTATCCAATTAGTGACATGACTATTTTCACATTTTAGAAGAAAACGTACACCTTGATTTTGTCTTTTAAATGGGTTCTCTCTACTTATTTTTTCCTTCCTGAAAAGCAAATGCATTAAAGAATTTGAATGCATTCTTCCATGTAAGTAAGGGGAGGAATGGTACATTGTTTACCTTATCTGTAAGAAAAGAAACGGTTTATGACTGACGTGTCTTTTTTTCCATCAGGTTTTCTATATTTTGGAAGTAGGTAGAAAGATTCCATGTGAGTGTTAGATGAAAAAGTGTCACTATTATTGCTGACACTGCAAAGCAAAGATCTCCTTGCAAGTATCTGATACCTAGTCTATAAAAGATTGACTACACAAAAACAGATGGCAAGCACGCTACAAAAATCCTTAGCAAACCTCATTATGGAGAAATTAAGTTTTGTTATACGCTGCCACAAACAGCAGCAAAATGTTAATCATGTTAATCCTCGTGTCATGTTTATCAAAAATGAAACAAGTTACAATGACAACACGTACGACTTCAAACATTCAGAAATCCATGAACAAACGACGTAATCTCAATTATCATGCAGATGAACCTAGAAACGTTTATTGATTACAGCAAAGACTGAATATACAAGTCATAAAAACTATGACGACGCTACGTTTTTCAAAGTCTGAGCAGAATTACAGCTCCAAGACAGGTGTGTTCCCATTTCTCTTAGTGTTGGCTTATGCTGCTGATTTAGAGATTCTTTCTAGAGGCCAATGACAAGACAATAGTTAATGGAAGCCAAGTGCTTCTCCAGCTTCTGGGCTTCTATCAGAAGTTGCACCTCCAACCTAGAACACTAGTCTTGCTGAAAAACAAGGAAACTCACTAATGCATCCACTCCTCCTTGCAGAAGAGACTACATGCCTCATGTGAAAGAATATTGAAGAGTCTAGCAGTGGTATTCTTCATTTCTCATCTTATTGTTGCAAAATCTTTATTAATATACACTTCTGCAGCTCCATACTCATTCCTCCAATTCCCCTACAACTGCTCATAAGCTACAAGACCATCAAGATTTTGCATTTACTGTTTTGTATTATCCGTTTAATATGAACCAGGTACTTTTCTCATTGACTAAAATATCCATGCTTAATTCTGAGTTAGAAATGGAAGAGGCACTCTGCAGTTGTTTTCTGCATTTTCATGCTGTGTATGTTAACAGTCTTTACAAATGCTGGTTATATTTCACTTTACTCTTGAGATTACGGGAAAAAAGTTCTGTGCCCCTTTATCTAAGAGAAGCTTTTAAAGTAAGATGAAGCTTTACTGCTTCACATTTTAAAAAAGCTGTTATCAATGTGCTACTAATATATCACTTATTAAAAAGCAAATCTGTTGTATTCTCCTCACACAATCAGAAATTGTTCCAGCCAAAAATCTACAGTAACTAAATAACGACTCATCAACTCTTCCAGTTATCTTAAATCTCTGCACACCCATGCATTCACAGAAAAATAATATATCTAAAAACTGGACCAGGAGCAGCATGTCTGCTTACAGCAAGAGGAGGGGGAATGTTAAAATGGCTTCCAACCTCTAAAAATTGATAATACTTCAACCTTTTGAGGCATTCTCCTGACCTAATATTACCACTCCACAAAATTTTTACTTGAAACTAGAGATACAATTTACCCAGAGCTAAGTTGTTTCAACTACATTGCAGTCACTTAGAATGGATTCCAAATTAAAAAAAAATAAAAAAAATAAAAAAATCAGAGGATATTCAAAGATCAAACACAGAAAAGCTTTTCAGTTATTAGTATTTGTGGTGCAGTCGCTAGTTAACATATGGATCTCCAGCTCAAATGAGTCATTAATTTCACTGAAGAAATGCTGGTGATGCATCTTCTAATCAAATACAACGTTAACTTGTTTCTTTGCCATTAGAGTGAGCAATTGAACATTTCACTCCTGACTGGTTCTTCGGCTTAAGAGTCATACTATGAAATTGAAAAGTGCTTACTCTAGCAAAATACACTTCTAAACAGAATTAAAAAACATTTAATTTCATTAGTTTAAGGTACTCACACAAACCAAAAGCAAAAACAGGAAAAAAACTGACTTGGGGACAGGAAGGAGCTTGTGGTTGAAGTATAACAGATAAGTAATTGCATGCATGTCAACAAGATACTCAAGTAAAATCCTCATTAAAAGGAATACACCTACTACTTCCCTAAATCCTTAACACTGCTTTTATGTTATGAACTTCAGGTACCCACAGCACATGGTTTTTAAGTTGCTGCAAACAATGATTAAATAAATGCTAATAATCTACCTCAAACAAGACAGATTCATCCCCAAATTAATCCCACTTTCCCAAATTCTACTAGAATTCAACAGGTGGATGAATCTTGGTAGGTTTCAGAGAAAGTATATTATCTTTGCCACCCCTATAAGCTTCACAAATGCAGCATAACTAATTAATTCCAGGTTTAAAGACTAAAGCAAGCATAAAAGTTTTTTTAAAATAAAAATCAAAATAAATACTTGCTTTAAGTGCCCTGAAGAATATCTGGAATAGGTTCAAGTGATCACTAAGATAGCAAGGTAAAAGACAGGGCATGCCCGTCCTGTATATCTGTAAATATTAATCTTGTCTATGCTAGTATATGCTGCTCAGAGGGTCCCAACAAGACATCAGGTACAGGTAGCAGATAAAAGGTGTAGGGGAGGTGGGAGGGGAGGGAATGTGGGCAGAACTTAGCACTAACTACATAGAAAGAAAGAAAGCAGTAGTTTTCCCCAAAGCAAACAAGGGCTTTCTCATATGTGGCTGAACAAAGACTATAACAACTCATGAGTTCTTTAAATTCTCTAAGAAAAAGGAAGGATATTTACAACCAAAACAAAAGTAAAATGAATCACGAGGGGAGCGTATCTGCTCAAGGCTTTTTCCTTCAATAAAAAGTCACTTACTAAATAGTAATGATCCCATGCAGAAGTTTAGAAAAGTCAAGTCACTGCTGAGGTTCCACATTCTCCTGCCTATCTACAACTTGCCACACAACACCTCAAACAAAACTGCATACAAGGACACAAACTTCAACTGGAAGTCACTTTCTAGGATTGAGGGATTACGTCTTTTTTACAAAGTAAAATCGGAATCATTTGATGGCACTAAGAAATTAAGTCATCCTTCTGAAATAAACTTATGCATTTGTTTAACAAGAAAAATAAGTCAACTTCGTGGTTACAATAGCTTCTTAGTCTCCTACAGCATGGTATGATAGCAAATATAAACTGCACACCTAACCTATAGGGATATTTTCTTATTGTAGGAAAACCAGAGCTTGCATTATGATCTCTTCACAGATGAGTTTTGCCTAGATCATTTCCTAAAACAAACCAACTGAAGCAACACTGTCTTTATTATGATACTAACCTCAAGGAAAAAAGTTCTCACCCACCACCTAAAACCAAAGTAACTTGAACGATTCCCCTCCACTCCCTTTTTTAAGAACACAGATATGCACACAACTTATCCTAGAAGGCTTCAGGCATCAAAAAAAAGATTTGAAGGAAGATACTAGAAGAAAGGTATTGGTAGTCAGTCAACTTAGCACACCCACCTAGGAGAGCACAAGCCAAAGAATATCATTCTGCACGCCTTTCACTAGATAAGCATATTCCAATTTATAAGATATAAGGGCTTACATCCAATTAAGATTATAATGAAACCCAAAAAGAGACTTCAAGTTTATCAAATAAGACTCAAACTAAAATATTACTTACTTAGTACTTCACAGATAAGTACCTCAATATACTTCTCTCCGGAAGATTATTAGCACATTAATACTCTTTAGTCTCTAAAATATATTTTAAAAGTATCAACCTTTTCCACTATGATGAGGTCTCCAACTTGTATGTCTGAACTCTTAACTTGCACTTTACCTTAAAAGAAAAAAAAAAAAAGAATATTAATGCCTGCCTAGGTTGATTACAAAGAGTCATAAAAATATAAATGCAAGATGTACTTCAAGATATTACTGTTTGGTGAAAAAGTTACAATTGATACAGAATTGATACTTGAAGAGCATACTAATAAATAGATGTAATCTCTAAATGGATCATTAATTATGAGGTTTTGAAAGTGCATAGTTTTCTAGGCAAGTAGCTACTGTAATAGTACTGGAGAGACACTGAATCTGATAAACAATAGCAATAATTGAGTTACAGAACTGGAAAAAATGATTTTGTGTCATCTACTATGCACCCCCTACAACATGTCAGAAGTGACAAGGCTTAGCCACAAAGCATCTTACACATAAACTGTTGATAACTGGGCTTTGACCAACAGGTAGCTTTACTCAGTCACAGACATCATCGACAACCAGCACTGCCTGAGCCTTGTTGGAAATCACAGTAGAAAAGAGGTAAGTTGTAAGTCAGAAAAAATGCCTGAATATTTCATTTTAGGAAATTAAAATAACAAAATCTGAGAGCTTTCACTTGCTGGAGCTGCCCATTCAGTGAACAACTTGTTCAAAACAGACAGCACACGTCAATTTTAACTCTGTATTTTCTGCAGGGAAACGAATATTTTTTATGACAGTTAAATCTTAGTATTATTATCTGAAAGACTGAGGAGAGGTTAAGCTACTGCCCAAAATGTGCTATTGTTAATCTCACTAGAATTGAGGATTTCTAGTCTTAGTCCTCGCTACAAATTCAGGAAGTGTTGCTTCCCTGAGTTAAAAAACAGTAAAACAACAGACAAAAAATAACCCTGCAAACCAGCTACCAGTCATTCTCTTCGAAGATACATAAGCAGTAGTAAACTCAGATGTGTTAACTCTGGCTGTAAACATACCTATATATACATACACACACGTTTTTTACATGTATATATACACACATACAGCCTGATGAGCTGAAATGTACGTCCATATGAAATCTTTTCCCATCAGAAGCAGTGGGAGTCTTGTTAGCATGTCAGAACACAGACTCTTAAGAAATTAAATATCAAACTGAATGGATTACAGAAGAGATGACCCACAGAAGCACTGCAGAAGCAGCAATCGGTAGTAGGCAGTATTATGAATTGCAGATTAATGTACATTCTGCTACTTCTCATTCATAGGAGGTATAAATAAACTAAGATAGGTCCCAAATCCTCGCTGTAACTCAATGAAGAGCGATCTGGCAGTTACTTTCACAAAATTCCTACATTTTACTACCTTTGACTGAATGTATCTTATGATTAAAGAGAAAATAAGTCATATTTAATGCAAAAACAGCAGCTTCAGTTTACTTAATGAATTTATTCCTATAATTGATCTAATTTTCAGTACGCTTTCCACAGTACTAGCGTTTCCAAGACAAGGAAAGAATGTCAGTGGAGATCAGAACTATTGTTTTAGCCTGTCTGCATAGCTATTTTGGAAAGCCAGTATTTGTTACTGAAAATCTTTTAAAACAATCCAATTTTTTTTAAGTTGCCAAACACATCTTTGCTTCCCACTCTTTAACATATAACCAATCACATCTTCAGTCCGACTTCCAGTCTCATCATAACCCAACTGTGATGGTGAACACAATAGCAGAACCTCTGATTATAAAAGCAGTAGCAAGAAATATGAGTAATCAACAGGAGTGTTCTACAGCTGGGACGGGAATCAGGTTAGTATCAATCTCACAAGTCAACATATTTAGACTGCCTAACTATAGAGGGAATTCACAGGTTTGCACCAAGTCCCAAGTTTTGATTAGAGGTGAACAGCACCTATTTTGTTATCAATTTATCTCCTGGGAATTTCCCAACAGACAAAAATCCAAGTACTTTCTGTTGCATCTCAACTCTGCCACCTACGCAGTCAAACGTGACTAAAGCTACACAGCAGCGTTAACCAAATGAAACTGACAGCAATTTGATCAAATCAAACAACTGAAATCTCCAGTCATGTTCTAACAGCATCTAAAGTAAAGACCAGAAGAGACTAACTTTTGGATGACAAAGTAGAACTTCCATTTGTGGCACTCCAAGGCAGCAAAGACTCCAAGGACAAGATATACCAACAGGAACCCAGACATCACCTTTGCTTGTATTCAGCCTACTAACTTGGGGAATTTCACATTACAAATAGAAAAATTTCCCTAACAGACATTTTTCTAGGTGATTAACACATTGGAACACCTTCTTTATAATACACATATATCTTGTTGGAAGTCTGGTTATCTCTATAAATATGGAAGCCTATGACATAAGAATTATTTCTACAATGAATCTGAATAAGAGGACACGTTCCTCTAAAACTGAATGGTTAAGTGTGGCAGTAACTAAAAAAGTAGCTTTGGATTTTGAAAAGCTGGCAAATATTGCCTTCCTCTAGATCAAAAAAAAAAGGAAAATTAGATATTTTCAGTTCAACATTTCAGAGAATATTAAAATACAAATTAGTAAAGATGCATTTAGAGAAAAAACTCACAATGTTATTTGCTTCATAAACTATTCTTGCTCACTATTTTTTCATTAGAAACATTTCAGTAGCAAGACACTCTTCACCACCTGCGTAATCATTAATAACATCCAAAGCAATCAGAAGTGGCTGCACATCCAGACTTCATAGTCCACCGAAGTGCAAGGCTTTTGCCTAAAGCTACAAACAGAATTATGCAAAATTGGAGTACTGGAACATATCTGTAGTGATTCATTATGCTTTCAAGACAGTCTTCTGAAAAGCACTGAAATTATTTGAAAAAACCTAATAAACTTCCCACATGTGCTCAGTATTTCACATAATTTAAGAAATGAAGCGAACGAAACAAGGTATTATGTGTATTAGAAAGGACTTTATTAATGAGCATTTCTTTGAGTAGAAAAACTCCTGAAAGAACAACAGGTGCTTCTGAGAGACCTTGAAAATAATTTCCAATTGCTCATCTTACACATTGTATCTTGAGTACTGTCTGAAAAGAACACTTAGAACACTTTTGGAAGTAGTAATGGATTGTTTCTAACCAGTAAATACCAAGCTCTGGAAAACAGTCAAGGGTAAAACACATCTAAGTCTTACCTAGTATTTATTAGCTTCAGCAGTCAACATAATTAGAGTACATACAGTATAATGGGGAACTGAAAGAAAGACTTCATTAAGTTACAGTGATGATGATTTTTTCAGTGAAAATGCTGTCCTCGAGTCCTTCTTTCACACTCCATTTTACATAGCAAACTGATATCAGCCTTAAACCGCTAATTTAAAACTCCAGAGATGCTTCACAACTGACATTTTTTCTTTTCCAGCTTCTTTTTGAAACTCTTTTTAAAAATAAATTCTAAGTTTTCTTGCTGTTGCTTAGAGCTCCCCAGATCAACCAGATTAAATGGATACAATGCTTTAAAGAAAACGTATGTGCTCCAAATGATCTAAATACCAGGAACAGACTGGAGGCTTGAAACACTGCAAGCAATAATGACCTAACATTACTCTACAGAATGGCCAGGGTCGGAAGGGACCTCAAGGATCATGAATTTCCACCCCCCCTGCCACATGCAGGGCCACCAACCTCCCCATTTCATACCAGACCAGGCTGCCCAGGGCCCCATCCAATCTGGTCTTGAACTTCAAGAGATGGGGCGTCTACAGCCTCTGGGCAGCTGTTCCAGCACCTCACCACTCTCTCTGTAAAGGATTTCCCCCTGACATCCAACCTCAAGCTTCCCTCCCTCTAGATTCAGAAATACATTCTTCTAAATGCAGGACATTTTTAAGAAGCACAAGAATGACCTGTACTTGAAGAGCTGAAGTTGTATTATAAGAAGTTCCAGTACAGATTTTAGTTAACTACAGTGTTACAATAATTATCAGGGCATTCTGATAAAAATCTGATTTTAAAGTTGCAGATAACTCAGGTATAAGTGACTCAAAACTGAACGCTTCTTAATGGAGAACACTCTGAAATTAAAAAAAGGTCAACTGAAATAAAAACCTCAGTAATGTAGCATTTTAGGAGCACAGTATGAACAGAATTGAAAAGTGAAACAAATCGTTCATGTCACTCCAGCTCCCTAAAAGACTGAGTGCTCAGATTTTCAAGCAAGCATACTAGCTTTCACACTTAGGTTTATCCTTATTATAGCAGTTGTTCATATTATTAAAAAGTTGACTTGCTGATAAGAACAAACACGAATTCAAGATCTTGTATCACTTAAAAAGCCATTACTTCTTTTACTAGCAACACAGCAGTCATAAAATGCTTATTTTTAAATGTCTGGGGAGTATCTCAGGCCCAAAATGACTCCACAGAATGGCAACACCATCGAGTAGTCAAAGAAGTCCTGGTTTTAATGCACAGCAATGCTATGTAAGAAGATTTTAACTGACCAATCAGCCTACATACACTACTTTAATACAAGTAATTAACCACAGTTCAAGTAACAGTAGTTTATTTTCCCTAAACAACTACCAGTGACAATGAAAGATGGAATGAAAATAGCACAATTAAGCAAAGGGTAGAACTGAACATTACTAACTTTTATTTTTCCTACTGAGCCATTCATCTGAGCAAGGCAACTTGCCTAACTTCTCTATGTCAATTTCTCCATTTTTTGGAGGTGGAAAAATATCTATTTCAAAGAAAAGACTCTACAAAAGTCATAAAATCATTGGGGGGAAAAAATAAGATGTTACAGAAGTATGAAGTACAGTTCCACTCTGAAAAGCAACTCTAAAGAGAGGCATTGATTTTCAGGCTTTTAATTAAATCAGTATCAAATTTGCTCACTCACAAGTAACAAAGCCTTCTTTCTCTAAACCATTAGCCTGTAGCCTAGGAAAGTCTAACTGATTTCTTTTCCTCTCTTACAGAGTATCACCAAAATTCTGTAATTATTTGTAAGTATATTGAAAATTACTGACAAAAATAGTTATCTGAGATGTAGCCTTTATTAATTT